CCCCCCCCCCCCCATCCCCCTCCCGCAGACAATTAAGCAACTGAGGCAGGACCCTCCTGAGCCCCCACACCCCTGGTACTGCTGTCAGCAGGCTAGAGGCAGCTCTGTGTGTGGTTCTTCCCCCCTCCCCCAGCCCTCAGGCCCTTTGCAATGTTTTCCTCCCCCCCCCCAGCCCCAGGCCCTGCAGCTGCTCTGTTTTAGGAGGCAGGGGAACCTCCCTGTGTGTGTGGTTCTTCCCCCCTCCCCCAGCCCTCAGGCCCTTTGGAATGTTTTCCTCCCCCCCCCAAGCCCCAGGCCCTGCAGCTGCTCTGTTTTAGGAGGCAGGGGAACCTCCCCAGGGCTGGACTGCCAGCAGGGGGTGAGATGGTCAGCAGCACCACCTGGTGGTATAAGGTGTGATAGCACCCACCAGATCAAGGTACCTGGGTTGGCCAGAGGGTGGCCTGATGCCCATGACTCCAGCACCAGAGCCTGAATCCCCCCTCCCCCCACATTCAGGATTAGACAAACCAGTTTTTTCCAACAAATGCTTTTATTTTAGACGCAGGCTTCTCGGGCCCCCCACCCCGCCCCTTCCCTGCCAAGGCTGCCCGAGCTCAAAGCTGCTTGGTGAAATACTCCTTGCTCTCCGCCACGGTGGGCTTGATGGTGTCACTCCCGGGGTGCCAGCCGGCTGGGCAGACTGGAGAGAGCAGGGGGAAGGGGGTTAGACCAGAGATCCCCGCTTTGTACCCCCCTGCCTTTGCAGAAGGGGAAACTGAGGCAGAAGCTAAAAGCCAAGGTCCATGGCAGAACATGGACTCAAAGCCAGGGCTTCCACATCCTCGGCTAGTGAGTTAGCCCCTCGACAGCCCTTCCTCTCCGGCTTAGCCATCTGCCCAGGGCTGCACTGAGGTGCAAGAACCGTAGGCACATGCACGGGGTCTGTTCCGCCCTCCCTAATCCAAAGGGGGTGGTGCTGCAGCAACATGGGGGTGCTACAGCAACCCCAGCCCCCGAGTCCTGCACTCCCCTAACCCCCCCGGGCAGCCCCCAAGCTGCGGCAGGGCCCGGCTCACCTTCGCCAATCGTGTCCCGG